TACTTTTGAGATGGAACATCCTCAGTTCTTGAATCTAGGGAAATGTCTGTTAATTGTTGAAAACATTGTATATCCTAATTGAATATAATTATCAGGGAAATCATTTCTAATCATTTTGAAATAAAAAAAACTATCATGGTAACTTTCATTAAAGTTTATGACATGTTTGATTGCAGAACATTGTGGCAGTAGGGGCTGGTTTTGCTGATGGTTTGGGCTACGGTGACAACACAAAGGCAGCTGTGATCAGACTAGGTCTCATGGAAATGATCAAGTTCTGTGAAGTCTTCTATCCAGGTAATAATGGGGCTGAAATATACAAAAAAAATATATAGGTGGTTCTAAGTAAAAGCTAAACTTCTATAATCTACAAAAACACACAGCAAAGACATAATAGCAATTTAAATATGAAAAAGTTTATAATTATGTTTAATACAATGTAAAACAGGGGACAAAAAAATCACTTCAATGTAAGAATGAATTTATTTTAAACATGTTAATTATAAGTTGTTTTTTTTTAATGTACCAGTTATTTACCAAAAATATAACAAAGATTCATGTGATATAAGATTAATCTGACAGAAAATACATGTAGATTCTAAGTTTGAATTTCTGTGTTAAGACTCCAATCAGTCTACCTTTCTGGAGAGTTGTGGAATAGCTGATCTTGTCACCACTTGTTATGGAGGCCGAAACAGAAGAGTAGCCGAGGCTTTTGTTACAACTGGAAAGGTGCGATAATTTTGCAATAACGTATGCAATATTTTTAAAAAAGTTAAAATCTTAACATGCATGTACTATATATTTGAATATTCATATTTAAACCCAATGTATTTAGTGCCTATATCTAGAGATGTTAGTAATTAAATGCTTTAATTTTATCGGGGTATGTTTGACATTGTAGTCAATAGAGACGTTAGAAGCTGAGATGCTGAATGGTCAGAAGTTACAAGGCCCACCCACAGCTTATGAAGTCAATTACATGCTTAAGAGTAAAAACATGGAAGATAGGTGGGTCTAGTTACCAGTATCATATTTTATGACAGGAAAAAAGCTCTTTGTTTCCCACCCACAAAAATTACTGTATGCACGTCCATATGCTTTGGAATTAAAAAAATAAATTTTGGTATCATTCAACCAAAGCATGTCCTTGAGCATATTTGCTGTGGGATATTTTTCTCTCTCTCTCATTTTCTAAAGAATGTTAAAACAAGTTAAAATACTTTGTTGTTGGAAAGGGTATTAAAGATAAAATGCATGTTGAGTGTTTAGTTAACTTATCCATGTATGAAGTACAGTAGACCTAGTCGCTCAAAAATGTTCATTCTTTATTTCCAGGTTTCCATTATTCACTGCCATACATGATATATGTAAAGGAAAACTGGAGGCCAAAAAGTTCATGGACTGCTTAAAGAATCACCCAGAACATATGTAAGATATCCAATGTCTCCAGACTGCACCTAAACTACTAATGTGTGGTTCATTGTGGCATTCAAACTTAACATCAAAACTGTTCATGACATTTATTATATTTTTGTCTTAGTTATTTTAAAAATCATATTTATATATAGTATATATTATGAATTCAATAGATATTTTATTGTCAGTTCAGAAAAATGTCATTTTATGTTACATGTAGATAGTAAATGTAGATAGTAATATTGAAGACAATTTGGGCATCAGTCCACAATTGTGTGATATTTTTTTTATGAATGTTTAGTGATATCTATGTATTGGGTAATTTGTTTCTGGAGACAATCAATTTTTATGGATGTAATATGTAAGAATTATTTAATAATAATTAAATAATAATGATAATAATCTAATAATATTAGATATACCCCCCCCCAAAAAAAATGTGCATTTTCTTTATTCTAAAAAGTGTTTGACAAAATTGGACCTTTTTCCTACTTATTGTTATTTAGAATTGTAATGTGAATCAAAGTTGAGTGATGAGTACGCAAAGAGATCACATATATTTCTTTCAAAGCATTTGTTCCAAATAAATCACATAAAAATAAAGATCTTAAATCAGGCAGTTACAACATATTTTACAAACTTTAGATAAGAAATATTATGCGAAAGAGAAATAAATGAAATATAAACCTATTTCCTTTAAATTAATTTGCCTAAAAATTGGTTGTCTCTCATAATACTGTAAACCAATTATTATTCATGTCATCTTTTGTTCGTGTTTTGTTATTTTGAAATCAATCAGCAACGATTTTTTTTCGCGACTGAGGAAACATTTTCTACAAATAGAAAGCAAGATAATTTATTTATGTTGATAGATATTAACGAGTTAACGAAGGCGCGAAACTCGTGGATATCTATCACGTGCAAATAAAAGTTGGTTTACAGTATATTACAAGTAATGACTTAGGCATTATTTTCAGGGATATATCCAAAGTAATAATGTAAACATATATTCTTTTAGGTTGCATAAACATCGCCTTTAGATTATTTCTACGAGCTTCTGGGAATGACTTTTATCCGCTGCTTCTACTTTCCTTTCTAGTGCATGTGATCTTCATTGTATAGCAAGCTTAAAAGTTTAAAATATGCATGTTTTCATATAGGCTAAGCTTTCATATTTGTTTGTTTTATTTCTGTCTCTGTTATTTATTATTTGTTTATGCATGCTGATATGCTGGCTTTTATATTATTTATCCCGATGCCTACCCTGTTTTCTATATCTGGCTATGCTTTTTAGTCTTCTAGTAGGCCTGCTTATTGTGAATTGAAACAAGTTTAAACCTACAGTTTAAGATAGAGAAAGTCATACAAACGTTTTATTATTATCAGCAATTTTATTTGATTAAAAGGCAATAAAGATTTAAAAGAAATAACTCACACATCTGACACAGCAATGATTATTAATTATTTGTTGACTATCTGTATTTATAAAATTTATCTAAATTTATCTCTATGTGGTTGTGTTAAGTAATTTAAAGCATTTTGTTGCTATGTAACGCACCAGCAAATTTCAAGCAGCAAATAAAGTTTCACCATGGCTTGATTGCAAGTTCATCAATTTTTACCAACTTGCTTCTTCATATTCATTATGAATATATTTTGTGTCGCATTGTTGTATATATACTTCTCAATGACTGTTAGATATTATATGATATACTTAAGGATGATTGAGGTATAACCTGGTAGTATTATGTTAATTGTTGCTGTCATGTATGGAATGTGGGGAAAATAAAAGATAATTATATGTACTGCATTTTACTTGTTGTTCTTTTCGTTTTGAATTTACAGATATTTCACATAATTTATTTAAACTTGCACTATTGATATAAAAAATTCACACATTAAAAAGAATCAATTGCAAGATAGATGTAACCAGATTAACTTGAATCTGCAACCAACTTGTAGAATCCAGAGCATGTCCGTCAAAAGCTCTACAGTTGTAAAAATCCGACTCTTTAAAATAAAATTTTCTGATCTGATCTGAGAGCATTATTTACCTCATCTAGCACTTGTTAGCTATAGATATTTGGGGTACTCGTAAAAAAGTAATGGTAAAGGGTTTTTAAATTCCAAAGTGACTGAGGGAACTTATGATTTATATGTCCTAACCTTTGAGGAAGTGGAGGGGCTGTATTGTTTTACAAATTCAAATTTCAAAAATGATTTTTGAGTTTTAGAATGTTTATATTAGTTCAAATTTCTAAATTTCAAGAACTCAAACTGATTTTGTATGTAAAATATTTTATTTCAAAAATGAAAGATTTCTAATTTTTATACACCCGTCTTAAGACGGGACGTATTATGTTATAGGCTTCGTGTCCGTCCGTCCGTCTGTTAGCTTTTCTCGTGTCCGGCTCATAACTTTAATACTATAAGGCCTAGAGTTATCAAACTTTGTCAGCTGATACATCTTGGGTAGAAGGTGTGTCGCACACAAAAAGTAGGTCACTCTGACCTATAATTAAAAAGTTATAGCCAAATATGGAAAAATCCTGTCCGCTCCATAACTAGAAAACTATTAGACTTAAAATCACCAAACTTGGCCAGTTTATGCATCTTACATTGTAGGTAGAAGGTGTGTCGCGACCTATTTCAAGGTCACTGTGACCTTTAATTTAAGTGGAATTTTAAAAAAAAAATGTTTTTTTTCCTATTCATTTACACATTCAAAAAAATGTAAAACTATTGCACTAACCTTATTAGAAAAATTAAATCAAGAAAATACTTATTTTTTTAGCATATACTTGACAGCAATCTATAACAAATATAATGTATGTTAGAGAAATTCCACCACTCCCATGAGTCTAATTATCAAGCACTGGTCAAGAAGAATTTTGATAACAGAAAATTGCAAGTCAAATTAGAGAGAGAAATTAATGAGTTTAGTGTGAGGCGTAGCTGTAAGAGCATCGGTGCTATCTATATCCCTTGAGTATTGGGCCAAATGGGTAAGCCTGTTGGATTAAAAATAGCTCTTGTTGGCTAGCTGAAGTTTTAAAATGAATTTGATGAGAAGTAATTAAAACAAATTTGATATTGCATATTAAACTATTTTGATATTACATAATATTATGAACTTAAAAATTAATTTTATGGGGGTAGGGGTGGAACCTGCATGTCCATATGAATTGCATATTAACAATTAACTGTCTGACATTAAATCTAAAAAAAAAATCATTGATGTTTTGTATGTTTTAAAAATGTTTTATGGTAGATAGTGCAGATCCAATAATCTTTTGGGAGTAATGAGTAGACAAGCATCCAGTTAAAGATTAATTAATGTGTTCCATGTAGGAAGGCTAGCTGCATGTCTCTTTCATTTCTTCAGAGCATGGTCTTACCTGTATCCTTCGGGAATTAGACAGAAGAACTGTTGGTCAGTTTATATTTGATGGCCAGCCTTTTATTTCCAAAATTAATTAGGTATAGATTAAGTTGTGAAGACTAATTTGATATTGTTTAATATGATAGGCATTTGGCAAAGTATAGAAATCTATGAGTGATGCAATATTTGTTATAATTAATGCCTACACCACAGGAGATGGATAAACAAATTTTTTAAGGTGTGTAAAAATCATTGAAATCTTTAAAATCAAGGTTGACATGATTTTCCTGCACTTTTAACTGTTTAAGATACATTGTAATTGTAATTTTTTGACGGGCATTTCATGCTGTGGCGTGGCACTTTATTTAAATATGTAAATTCAAATTTCCAAAACGATTTTTGGATTATAAACCGTTTGTTCAGAACGTTTACTCTAACAATCCAAAACATATTTCGTTTTTTTTTTTTATTTAAAGTTTACTACAAACTTTAAATTTCAACTTTCAAACGTTTTAGACTTTTAGAAATCTGACTGACGTTTTTCATACTAATTGTTAGGCCATTATTCACACACTGAATTGTGTACGGATTTCCCCGTTATTTCCCGATCATGACAAGGTGCACAGGGCGGGTGTGACCGGTTGACAGGGGATGCTCACTCCTCCATGGCACGTGATCCCACCTCTTATGTTTTGGAGGTCCGTGATTGCTCTGCTCCAGATGTGTTTTGTTA